TACTAGCGTTTACCAGCGACACCAGCGTTTACCAGCGTCTACCAGCGCCCACAAGCGTAAGGGAATGGACAGTATGGGGCGATAGGAGGGCGGAGACAGCTGGTAGCGTTTGAGGAGATAGGAGGGTAGCATACTGCTGGTGAAGTATGGGGAAATGCGAGGGTAACGGACTGCTGGTAGAGAGTAGGGGTGGTAGGAGAGTACCAGCTGTCTGCTACCCTCCTATAGTCCCATCCTCACCGCTACTGGACGCTGCTGGACGCTGATCTTCACTGGTAGACACTGGTAGTCGCCAGAACGATACCCATATTTCCCTAGCCTTCGAGACGCTGCTGGTCGGTGGTAGACGCTGGTGGACCCTGACAGGCGCTGGTAGAGGCTGAATAAACACCTACCCTTCCTAGTCGGTGACGGCTCCGGACGCCTAGAACGCTAGTGGTCGCTGGTGGACGCTGCCTTGTGAACGCAGACTAAGAGGAAGTCGGATACGGGGCTTTTCTCAATAAAGATATCGATCGGCGGCACTTGATTCACCCTTATCCTTTATATTTCTTCTTAGTTGCCCTTTACATTCCTTCTTAATTTTTGGGATCTTGGATGTTCCTCCTAATTCCTTTCAAGTACATTTCTAAATTTCGTAATTCTAGTACATTTCTCGTTGACAAAAAGATGTGGGTGGAGTGAATGCCGCATAAATTACGGTTTTCTACGGAAATTAATCATCAAGGCAGAGATAATAAACTCTAATTTAACTTCTACTGTGCTCACGGAAAAGGCACCCATTATACCGTCGCGCTCATTTAATGACTGTCCTCGAGAGCTCAACGTTCTTCTAATAAGCACCATTGTAATAGTATTCGTGCTCATCGCTCTCTTACCTTGCTTGAATAGTTACCAGGTTAACCGAGGCGATGAAAGAGCTGCTCTTTTGTTTTTTCACCAGCTTCTTCAATCTTTTGTCTTTCCATGATCTCTGATAGTGGCTTCAATCTCTCACCCTACGAAGTCTTTTTCATTTCAAGAATGTTATGCACATACTTCGTTTCCTTCACGTCCGTCTGATCCTAGGCAGAATGCACATTTGCTTCATTCGTCGCCAATTCTTTGGTCATCAGGCTGATCATGCCTCACGAAGTCGGCTCAGATAGTCCCAAGCTTGCACATGCTTACCTTAATTAATGTCGAGATTTCCATTTTTGGACCGCCTGCTGATACAATACTTACCTGAAAAATATAGTGCCAACAGGCGGGCTGATTCTGGGACCTCAAGAGCACTCTCTACCTCCTACGATTATATGCAAAATTATTTCTCGTATGCAAAAACTTCTGAATCCTTTAATAAATCCTAGGAACCCGACTAAAGCGTTCCACAGCTAACAGTTGTACCGTTGCAACTCTTAATGCAATCGCAACTGGGGCACAATGCGGCACAGTTAGGCGCGGATGGAGGGGGCGGGGGGCAATTTGCATTTCTGTTATTTCCCATTGTTGCGTCAAGCCATCAAGTAGAGATCTGTGACGTCTTGTGAAGCTACGAAGTGATAACAATCAAAGTTTAGATTCTACTTCTCAACACTTGTCAAGACAGCACGACAATGGGATGGGACCCCCCCCATCCCCCTGTCGTCGAAATGCGCCAGGTTATGACCTTGCGCTCCACCAAGATTGTTCGCGCTAGAGCAAAGTGCTCTCGGAAAGGTTCTCCCACCTATAGAACCTTTATTCGTAATTAGCAGGAGGACAAAGTAGCACATCCTGAAATCACTGATTTCCTACTATGGGCCCTCCCGCAACGGGGCTAATTCACCCCTTCGTTTCTCCCGATCCCATGGAATCCATCGAATAACGGTGTTATAACATATCATTATTATAAGTCAATAATTTCCTATAATTAAGCAAGGTATAACAGTCCACATTATCTCTGTGTAACGAGCTCAGGCGACGCAACATTGCTCCATGACAACGAGGAGAAACAGCTAAAGACGTAGCATACAATCAGTCCGCTCCCCGAAACCATTTTTTTCCTGGATAAAGTATTGCGATTGGCTAGATGGCATCAAATTTCACCCTCCAAGGGAGACTTCAAGGTTGTCTCGAAGGTTGACTTGTTCCTTACAAAAATACCGTCGTTATAGCAGAATTCAGTTGAATATGTCAGAAGTGCTTTGGTTTTGACGCTTCACTAGCTCCTTCCCACCACTTCTTGAATGGCTGAAGTCACAACGATCGATGGAAAGAGGCTGGCGCAGCGCTCAAGCCGACATACCACTGTCACGCCTCTTCCAACTTCAGTGATAACGAATGCAAGTCACACCCTCACCGAAACCTTTCAATCACCGGAACGGAAATAGAACTGCACTGCGCCATGTATTGCGCAGTTATTGGTTGTTAATCTGCGCCTTCGATGCAAGCGGCTTGCCTTGTTCCCCCACACCGCTCCTGTCCCGCCTGGCTCGACATATCTACGCGGATTTTTGAGCTCGAATTCTTTCACGAATTGTTTTCAGCACTTTTGCGGAACAAAATCATCAATGACTTCAGGCTATACCTTCCTGGCACTGCTCGGCTTGGAAGGAGGGGGGGGGGTCTTTCGCACTTTTGCTAGTTCATGCAAGTTAACAGGTCTGACTTTAGTGAGATTCATAAGCTCTTGTGAAGCTTCCAGGTAAACCCCTTGTGTATAGGCACTCGAAGGCCCAAAAAGTTGGCCTGCACAAGCTCATGTGAGTGCCTGTTTGTGTGCGCTCGCACTGAGTATCATTTGATGTCGCCCGCAAGTGTGCTATCTCTCGGCTTCATACTCTTCAAAGTACATTTCATCCGCAATGGTCGAGTGGGCGGAGTCGGGTCTACCACTGTGCTCTTCTCATTGATGTGCCGCTCGTTCTCAGATGCAAAGAGCAGGGGCATCTGTGAAGCTGGCACAATGATTGACCGTTGCCGTCGGTTTTTCTGCCTACGGGATCAGAGTGAGCCGTGCTTTTCAAAACCTCTAAGTTTCGTTAAGTTTTTTAAGCAAGTTTTTTCGAAGCTTTTTTCCGTAGCCTAACGCCGGGCTCGGTATGTTCACGTTTCAATTCAAAATTGCATCCAGAATGCTTCAGAATCTACGGATCCACTTCAAGCTGAACTCTCCCAAGAGGTTTAATGAGTGCATTCATTTTCGTCGAAGTGTCCAGTTACATCTGTGCACCGTTTTCGATTGGATCCAATATTCTATTACTGATGATTATACGAAATACTACTAGTCGTCAACTGGCTCCATTCAAGCTGCCTCTTGCTACTTTCGCCCTCTCGTGCATCATCCTTTCCGCCACATTCGTTCTTTGCCAACCGGTGAGTCTTTCTGCAACTGATTTGTAAATTTTGAAAAGCAGCAACAAGAAAAAAACATATAAAAATAGTATTGATGACACGCGCACAAACCAATGCTCGTACTACTGCGCGCGCTGAGTGGTCCGAGCCAAAAAAGACACTCGGAGAGAGACTTTGAGATTATTTGACTCGAAGAAGTCTCGCACAGCCCGTCTGAAGTTTTCGTTATTTCCAATGTTTCTGGAAAAAGACTTTTTCAGTGCGTTCTTTTGCAAAACGATGTGATCCTGATAGTGCTGATGGGACCAGCAATTTTTATCCATCCGGCCATCTCCTCCATATGTTTCGTCATATTTCAAGCTACGCTGATTCTCTGCACACTTCAAGTTGCATCGCCTTATCTCTTCAAAATATTAGCTAAAAAGTAAGTCATTTTTGGATATTCGTCCGATTTATAAGATTTATTTGAAACCTCATTCCACGATTACTTGGCGGGTGAAATCGCTCCCTTGTACAAGCAATCCTTCCCGTTTCCTTCTGTTCTCTCATTCTTCGTCTCTGGCCTCTGGCTCTGGCAATATCTTGCTTTTTTGAAGACTCGTCTTTTTGTAGTATTCCTCTGGAAAGATTTCTCCCTTTTTTGCTCGTTCATGAGCCAAACGGCATGTGGGGCCATATACGGCCTGCCTCTTCGCGGACCAAGTACGAGAAGATTTCCCAGTGATGCTGTTCCCTGTCTGGGCCTCCTCTGGAGAGATATTATTCATCATCAAGCAATGTACAGCATCGTTGGGAAAGCTCTATCGGGGGGGGGGGGGTCGTGCTTGGTCGTTGGGGAAGGATCCGGGAGGGCGCGAGGTTTCCGGCTGTTGCCTTTTCGCGGTTTTTGTCGTCTCATGTTCGCTTTACTTCCCTCCCCCTCTCTTGAAATGCTTTCATCGAACATATCAAAGAGTGTTCGAACGGAGCGTTCACGTTAGCGGTATAGGCGGAGCCAGATCACGAAGAGCTATTTTTTTGTACAACACTCCGCACAGGAAGCAACACCTCAGCAAAGAAAACACAATGATTCTCGATTTTGACCCATATTATCAGCGTAGGAGGAGTTTTGAACTGGGAAAAAGGTCCTGACAAAGAGGCAAAAGCAACTAGAACTTGTTTCAGGGACAAAATCACTCCACTGTGGCAAATAGTATCACTAGCAGTGCCATTTGTCATGACATGGCTGGTGCTCATTGTCCCTCTTGTGGTGTTCTCTTTCAAGTCGTATGGAGAAATTTATGATCGGAAAGAAGCTTACCAGCGGATTGTCTCAGCATACAACGAAACCTTGAACTGGACAACCGTACTTTGTCACCTACAAACTGGTGAGTTAGTTTCCGTCCCTAAGCTGGCATTACACGAAGGGCATGTGGGCGGAGATTGATGAGCAATGCACCTTTCTCATTGGTGAGCAAATGGTACGAAGTCTACGCTCTGCTGTTTCGCCCACATGCCTTCTGCGAAATACCACTTCAAATCTCTAACCACTTTACCTTGTATTTGTGCCTTTTTTGGAATCTTATGAGTATACCTACTTTCAGAACGTAATCGACAAATTGTGGCTAATATTGCTGGTGGTAGTATGTACCATTGGATGCATCAGCGTCGCGGTGAGCACGACCAGGTCATCAGAATTGTTGAGAACCCTAAAGCTTCACAAATGGGCGACATATGCTCCCGCTGGTTTCGGACAAATCGCCAACACTTCCCGATTAAATGTGAGTTTATACCGCTGCCTTGAAATTTATTCTGGGCCAAGCTAGCTAAGGTGGGCTACGCTGCGGCGCGACTATGTCACGTCATGTTTGTCTGTCATGCCCTGTCGTCAGGACACGTCCTGGCGTTGGAGAAGTTTTTTTGCAAATTACGACTCCCGTGTGGTACTATGTATTAATTGTATTGATTTCTAGTGTGGTAGCACGGTCGACCTCCATTCCTACATTGTACTTGTATTACCAATTTTTTCCCTATGTTTCCCTTCACTTTTACTTCAGAAGAGGCGGTATACAACCCCCTCTCTAACAAAAATTGGTTTGCTGGCCAGAATCTCCAGCGTATAGCGTGCTCTGCCCTGCTTCTCACAGCTTTTCGGAGGCTGTATTTGCTCCTTCTTGCCCACTCTCCAAATTCGAGCCAGACCTTCGGTCAAACTTTCTCCGGGGGACTAGAATTGGTCCGGACTATCGGAATTTTTGCATTTTCCCATTATTTCTCATCAACTTGGTTCGGAACCGCCTGGTGCCTGTTCCACTCCCGGCTGCCGCCAGAATACTCCAAAACCGCTGAAGACTTATGGGGTAGTTAGGACTATGAGGTAGTTTGACAAGTGTTTACGATGACCACATCCTCTTGACTCAGAAACGCCGAATCTGTCCTCGCGGGAAGATTTCGGTCAAAATGAGGTCCAATTCTCCAGGAGCGCGCCGTTAACGAGTGAATAATGCCACTGCCAATCTTCTGAAATGCCATATACGCTGCTCGCTTATTTCGTGAGAGGGTGTAGGGAAGCACAGGCGGTCAAGACAATCGTAATCTTTCGCCCTGTTGTCGCGGGCGGCAATGGGCCGGGGTATCCTTACACTAGCTGCCGTCTGGAGTAGCGGACTTCATGTAGACTACGATATGGATATACATTCAAAGATATTTATGGCTATTGTTCGTCACGCATTGCCTACTGTCCAATCTACCACAAAGATCACTTCCATTTGCGCGACGCGACGCCGCGCGCGGGCAGTTACGATTGTCTTGTCGCATAACCCAGGCGAGTAGACATGACGCGGCATAGTCGCGCTGCAATGCAGCCCGCTCTCGACTGCCTCTTCTCAGACAATTTTGATGAATCGAAATCTAATGTGCGCATTCAAGGCATGCTCGGTAGCTGTGTTGGTGCTGGCGCCGATGGCAGTGTTCGTGATATGTGCAGTGAGTGGGCAACAAACGTACAGCTACTCGATACCGTTATTTCTTGGATGTGCCTTTATCCCGATTGTTAACGCTTATTTCGTTCTCTTCAACATTCGCTCATTTCGTAAAGCCATGACAAAGATGATTACTTTGAAATCAAAATCAGTTGGTACCATTTCGCATATCAGCTCTGACCATTAGAATTCTGGCCGCTGTTCGGCTTGAGAGGGCATTTTGCACTTGAAACTGTGGACTTTAGCAGGCAAAAACAAAGATCATGGCACTGCATAGATCAAGGCACTGCCACGAGCGCCAACGCGCGACAGGCGCTCTGTTCGGTACTGCGTTTGCGACGCAGCTCCAATCCCTAGACGCTCATCTCCTGTAGACGCGAACGTAACTCAAACGGGAATCGATCGGCGCTGCCCCAGCAGCCAGTGTCGATCGATAACAACTACGTGATCAGGGGAGCAGCTACCCTCGATTCCTCCATACTCTCTAAATATACAATCGGCTCAGATCGATTCCCTTTTGCGGCTGCGTTCGAGACAACAAGATGGGAGCGCAGTTGCAAGCGTAGCGCGTTACAGCCATCGACGCGATTACATCGTCATCGCGAAGTCTGAACGCTGCCTTTAACAAGAATTTACCAGTTTCCACAGGTGGCAGAGGTTAATTGGTGTGAACCTGCAATGTCCCACCAAGGCCGTACTACTGTCTGTTTTCGCGCAGTTTTGCTCATATTTCTGACAATTTGTGTGTGAGCGTATACTCATCCACAATTCTATATATGTCAGTTGGCGATATTGTAGACTCATACGTCTCCTGACTGTGATTGAAAACTTTGATTAGTTGCTCCTCAGCATAGTCATTTGCTATCTGTGTTTATTTAGGGTGTATTTCAATAAATTGTTTATGAACCAGTTCTTATCAGGCTCGATCACTTACTGGCGCCCACCATCCCGTCTTATAGTTGGATTTTCCCATAATCCTTGGCCGAATTTTAATACTTTCGTGAATACTCGAAATTCCTGAGACCGGGTAGGCGTGTCTGCTCTTGCTTGTTGGAATGGCGTCAGCCAGCAGTTCGTGAGTATTGTCATTTTGGAGCAGTCGTAATCATGTCTACATATAGCACAGAACAAGATAGCAGTTGTTTCAAATTGAAGTATCCCACGAGAAACCCGTCCTATGCCATGCTCAAAAGCCACGCCTACTCCGTTTCAGGGATAAGGAGTGTAATTACTTTCTCTCTTTGATGAACACCCGGTAAACAGTATAATTAGCTATATGATCAAGATGATCACCTGGATCTTGCCAGGGCATTTGTAACTGGATTACGTCTGTTAAGAGTGAAGTTGACATAGAGAAGCCGAGTTCGTTCTCATGTATTTCGATACCCCTTTTCTTTCTCAATGAGATGGGCCTGCATATCAGCTCTGACCATTAGAATTCTGGGTGCTGTTTGGCTTGAGAGGGCCATTTTGCACTTTCCTCTCTCACTTTGGAGAAAACTGTAGACTCTTATCAGGCAAAACAAAGATCATGGCACTGCATAGTTTGGTAACTAGGTCCAAAGTCTGAGCGGTGACAATCGCAATGCGCTGCCACGAGCGCTGGAACCGCGCGACAGCGCTTCTGTAACGCCACTGCATTGCACAGCGCCTCCAGACTTCTGGATCCTCTGTCTTGTAGGCCGCAGACGCTAACTTCAGACGTGCTCTCTGATCACGTACTCTTCGACTCCTCCCTCTCTGAATTATTCAATCGCGCTCAGAATCTATTCCTTTGCAGCCTTGCGTTTCGGAGACAGCAAGTATGCGAGGCGCAGTTGCAAGCGTAGCGCGTTACAGCCATCTACGCGCATTACATCGCGTCGACGCGCGTCATCGCGAAGTCTGAACGCTGCCTTAACAAGAATTTACCAGTTTCCACAGGTGGCAGAGGTTAACTGGTGTGAACCTTCAATGTCCCACCAAGCCGAACTACGCTGAAGTCTGTTTTGCACAGCTTGCTCATAACTTGACAAATTGTGTGACGTGTGGACCATCCAACATTCTATATGTCAGTTGGCGATATTGTAGACGTCATTACGTCCTCCTGACTGTTGATTTGAAAGTTTAATTCCTTTGCTTCCTCAGCAGAGTCATTTGCTATCTGTGTTTATTTAGGGTGTATTTCAATAAATTGTTTATAAACCAGTTCTTCATCCAGGCGTTGATCACTTTACTGGCCCACCATCCCGTCTTATATTGGATTTTCCCATGAATCCTTGGCCGAATTTTAATACTTTCGTGAATACTCGAAATCCCTGAGACCGGGTAGGCGTGTCTGCGTACTTGCTTTTGAAATGGCGTCAGCCCAGGATTTCGTGAGATATTTATCATCGGAGCAGTTCGATAATCATGTCTACATATAACCACAGAACAAGATAGCAGTTGTTTCAAAATTGAAGTATCCCACGAGAAACCCGTCCTATGCCATGCTCAAAAGCCACGCCTACTCCGTCTCAGGGATAAGGAGTGTAATATTACTTTGTTCTCTCCTTGATGAACATCCGGTAAACAGTATAATTAGCTATATGATCACTGATGTGTGGCCATTCGCTAGGCATTGACTGGATGGTTACGTCTGATAATGAGTGAAGTTGACATAGAGGAAGCCAAGTTCGTTCTCATGTGGTTCAATAGCCGGTTTTCTTTCCTCCGATGAGATGCTGCTTAGAAGGGGCAATAGATACTAGGGCTATATATTACCTTACTTCGGGTCGCTTCTTCTAAAATGTGCAGAGTCGTTTCTGCAATGTGAGGTCGGGCTTTCTTGAAAAAAAGTGGGGACAGTCGATTCCTCCATGAACTAGTCAGGTCATGCCGCTCAGACCGCGCGCGGCCAATGTCGTGGCGACTCCAGAGCTGCGTGACCCCACCTAGTTGTCGCTGGAACAAGGAACTGACGTTAGTTCACGGCGTCTTCGACCAACACTTCCTTTGTGGAGCATCCGTCTGTGATCCCTTTAACAATTTGAACGAGCCATGGGGCGTGGAACTCGTGCGAGACGGTAGCGGCGTAGTCAGCCACGCACACAGCGCGGCGACCTAGCCTTGCCCACGATTGAAGGACGCCGAGCTGTTTTTTACAGTTTCCAGAGGTGTCCTGCATAGGTATCGATATGACTTCCTGCTTGCATTCGAGTCATCCCAAGCAGCACGCTTTGCCAGTTCCGGAAAACCGGGGCATAATCATTAGGGTATTGACCTCGATGCTTGCTCTGGTTGGATGTTGCTCCGAAACAGCCTTTGTGCATGTTGCTCTTTGTGCTCAGAGTGGGCCCCATCACTCATCTTCAGTGCTGATCACTTCAAAAACAGTTCCCGTGCTCGAGCAATTAGTGGGCCTGCTTCCTTGTACGAGTAGTCTGGCCCGCAGTCTCTAAGATTGTTCCACTTTCGCAGCTTCACAGGGAGGAGCGAAGGCTTTGGGCTTCTGGAAGGTTCATAAGTGGCAGTTCTAAGCCTTCCCAGTTGAACAAAAACTCGAAGGCTAGTTTCTATCACAAGTTCAGCTTCAACGCCGTACTTGCCGCCTATGCTAGGTGGTATTAGCATTGAATGACGCGAAGAAACGATTAGTGAGCTATCGCTCTTCTGGCATGAAATGAACAGGACTGAATGAATGAACAGGAATGAACA